TCATGAGACTTGGTCAGGTGGTGCATAATCGCCCCCAAAAAATGAATTGGAATAATAAAAGCAAAAAATAAAGTTTGAAAATTTGTGAAAAGTAAAAAATAAACTTGATTTTTTTCAAAAGCTTTGATATTCATTTTGGGGGAGTGGGAGTGCTGAGAGAAAGAAAGAATGGAACATGGCAAGAATGATTATAAATGAAAAAAATTTGGAACCAAAAAAGGTTTGGCCAGGTTGGTGGTCCAGATTGGAGCCAAAACAGTAAATTGTAGTGCTTTGCTGCAATGTGGGCTGGTGAATGCCCCACTCAACAGCTGTTTGAAGCCATCGGAAAACCAGTTTTTCCAAAATTTTCATTTATAATCATTCTTCGCATTTCCCAATCTTTCTTTCTCTCAGCACTCCCACTCCCCCAAAATGAATATCAAAGCTTTTGAAAAAAATTGAGTTTATTTTTTATATTTCACAAATTTTGAAACTTAATTTTTTGCTTTTATTATTTCATATTCATTTTTTGGGACCTATTATGCACCACCTGACCAAGCCTCATGATTTCAAATTTGTGGTTTGGAGCTCTGGAATCCAAAATAAGCAGCCACTTTTCACTGTCTACACCACAGGTTGAGTTTTGGAAATGGCACTCCGTTGGCTTGACCCCGCGGTCAAGCACTGGTCGGGCTCAACCCCTTTTACGCAATCCCAACGGATTGGTCTGGCCAACGTCAATTTTGGGTATGAAAGCTGTAATTCCAACGTTGGCTTGACCTCAGGGTCAAAAAGTCCCACCGTCGGCTTGACCCCATGTCTGAAAATGAAGAAAAAAAACTTTTTTTTTGACATTTTTTCTACACCCTTTTCATGCCCGAAAAATTGTGGCCACCTCAAGAAAAAAAAAAAAAAAAAAAAAAAAAAAAAAAAAACTTGGAGAAAAAAAACTTGAAGACAAAAATTCTATATGCAATTTGAAATTTTGTATCTATTTATATGCAAAACCAAGGCAGATTGGTATGATATGATTGGCATAGTTGGATAAGCTCTTCAGTTATCAGCATGCAACCATGCAGTGAGCTCAAGGTGCTGTGAGCATAGGTTGGGTGTTCAAGCCCTAAGCTGATTTTTTTTGTTCTGCAGCGCGCTGCTGCGCAGCCACTGTCATGATGAAAAAATGCCGTCAAGCCGCCGCAAGCTTGCCAGGCAACCGCGGGCAAGCCAACGTTGCAGGGTCAAGCCGACCGCGGGGATTTACGCCCCCCGCTATGAAGCACCCCCAATTTTTCGTTGGGGCGGTACGGGTCAAGCCAACGGAATTCGTTCCGTCAAGCATCTGTCAACCAGAGCCCGTGGTGTAGGCACTGTACAGTGGGTGGACAGTGAAAAGGGGCTGCTTATTTTGGGATTCTAGGGCTCCAAAAAACAGACTTGAAGTCGTGAGACTTGGTCAAGTGGTGCAGAATAGTTTTTAAAAAATTAATATGAAAAAATAAAATAAAAATTTGTAAAATTTGTGAAAAATCAAAAATAAAATTTATTTTTCTCAAAGGCTTTGAATTTCCATTTTTGGGGGAGTGAGAGTGCTGAGAGAAAGGAAGATTGGGATATTAGAAGAATGATTATAAATGAAAATTTTGGAAAAATCGGGTTTCCAGATGGCTTCAAACAGCTGTTGAGTGGGGCATTCACCATGCTACATTGCAGTAAAAGCACTAGAATTTACTGTTCAGCTGCAATCTGGACACCCAAGCATGGTCGAAAACCTTTTTTGAATGGTCCAATTTTTTCATTAATAATCATTCTTCCAATGTTCAATTCTTTCTTTCAGGTCAGCACTCCCACTCCCCCAAAATGAATATCAAAGCTTTTGGAAAAAAAAACCCCAATTTTTCTTTTATTTTTCACAAATTTCAAAACTTGAGTTTTTGTTTTTATGTTTTCATATTCATTTTCTGGGACCTATTATGCACCACCTGACCAAGTCTCATGACTTTAAGTCTGTGTTTTGGAGCTCTGGAATCCAATATAAGCAGCCAATTTACACTGTCTACCCACTGTACACCACTGGTGCACCCATTGTGAAGAAATTTTAACCGAGGAAGGGATAATTCTTGGAGG